AAGGAGTCTGGATGTAATTTTTAATTTTTAATTTTTTTTGTACAAAACGAGGAAAGCTTCTATAAACCTACGAAATTTCTAACATACCAATAAAATAAATAAACCAAACATGATAAATAATGTGTTTTGATGCATTGTGGGCTATAATTTATTGTTAATTGTGCATCGCTATAATTATTATTTATGTGGTGATATTGATTATACTATTTTGGTTGTTTGACGTATTCGTTGTGCAATTGAGACTTTTCTTTATTTAGTTATATTTTGAGACCTCGAGTCATTGTCTTTATCGACAATGCTTCGAAAAAATCTTCTACATAATCTTTATGAAGGCCATTTTACTAAAGGTACCTTGGTGCAATCGAAACCACCCTCCTTGTGTTCTATGAACAACATTTCTATTTTTGGTCATNATTTGGTTGTTTGAGGTATTCGTTGTGTAATTGAGACTTTTCTTTATTTAGTTATAGTTTGAGACCTCGAGTCATTGTCTTTATCGACAATGCTTCGAAAAAATCTTCTACATAATCTTTATGAAGGCCATTTTGCTAAAGGTACCTTAGTGCAATCGAAACCACCCTCCTTGTGTTCTATGAACAACATTTCTATTTTTGGTCATGTAAGATATTTTTGTAATAGATTTCTTTTACAATCTCTCATAATATCTATCTTAGGAGAGGTGATAATCCCTGACTAATTATAAATTTTTAACTTTTTTTTTACAAATGAATAAGGATAATAACCTAGATCATTCAGCAAGTCAATAGAGTTATGACTCATTTATTACTTCTTATATCTTATTGCTCAATTTAGTTTTAAATTTCTTTGAATTGGTAGGTCCAGTTGTTTTGACAAAAAAAATATAGCTAGGCATTATGATTCATGATGAATACGAACTTAACTGCCTCCATATATCTGAAAAGGTGACAACAAATTTAAATATAATGATATAGGCATTATGTTTTTTTAGCTATAATACTTTTTTATTTATCCATATTGTTTTGTTGAAAGGAAAATAGAAAAGCAACTGCTAACTTTAAAGGAAAAGAAAAAGTAGGTTCTTCTGGCAAAGGAAAAAAAAATACAGAGCCTCAAGTGATAGGAATGGTTGAATTCAACACATAAGTAAANAGCTATAATACTTTTTTATTTATCCATATTGTTTTGTTGAAAGGAAAATTGAAAAGCAACTGCTAACTTTAAAGGAAAAGAAAAAGTAGGTTCTTCTGGCAAAGGAAAAAAAAAATACAGAGCCTCAAGTGATATGAATGGTTGAATTCAACACATAAGTAAAGGTTATATAATTGTTTATGTTCACAAGAATGATTCTTTTAATAATGTTTTAGATATCCAACAATAATGATATATAAAAACATCATATGGCACACCGTGCACGTCGAGAATGAGATGAAATAATCACATTAATTTTATGTTATCATTCAATATTGTCAAGATTGGTGTGCATTGGCTCAAGAGATAAAAAGAAAAAATACAACGTGACTTTACCGATGGAAATATCGTAATAAGGTAACTTGATCTTCACACTGTTTTAATGAACNATGTTATCATTCAATATTGTCAAGATTGGTGTGCATTGGCTAAAGAGATAAAAAGAAAAAATACAACGTGACTTTACCGATGGAAATATCGTAATAAGGTAACTTGATCTTCACACTGTTTTAATGAACAATTTTTTTTATAAGTAATATATTCCTCTAAGATTTTTTTTATTTTTTTCTACAAAACTAGGTTGTTGTACATTCACCCAACTTACGGTTTCGCATATATATTGACACAAGAACATTGAAGAAAGTGATGAAGAGAAAGTTCAATGAAGATAAAGTTCAATGAACTATTAAAAGAATGATCCAGTAAAATGAGTTTTCGGTTGTTTTTGTACTTGCATATTTAGTGCTTTAGTTCTTTTGCACTTGACGCTTGCAATACCAAGGAACTGCAATATTAGAATATATTAGTTTTGTTTAGTGAATTCAAGGGATATTTTTACTATTTATATAAGTTTTGAGTGCGAGTTGTTTCCCTATTTTCATAGAATGCATTGTCATAAGTATTTGGTGGATAAAGCTAATAGTTTGATCACTAGCATTTTATTTTTATTTTTGTTGTTGNAGATTGAAGAAAGTGATGAAGATAAAGTTCAATGAACTATTAAAAGAATGATCCAGTAAATTGAGTTTTCAGTTGGTTTTGTACTTGCATATTTAGTGCTTTAGTTCTTTTGCACTTGACGCTTGCAATACCAAGGAACTGCAATATTAGAATATATTAGTTTTGTTTAGTGAATTCAAGGGATATTTTTACTATTTATATAAGTTTTGAGTGCGAGTTGTTTCCCTATTTTCATAGAATGCATTGTCATAAGTATTTGGTGGATAAAGCTAATAGTTTGATCACTAGCATTTTATTTTTATTTTTGTTGTTGTGGTTAAATCTATAGAATTTCGAATTGATTCATTTGGAATGTTGAGTTGACTAATTGACCATTAATTTTTTATATAGTATCTGCGGGTGTGGGTAATTGTTTGTAATTTTTTTTGTTATACTGTGTTTTCAGGCACGAACAATTGCTAGTATATATATAAGAGAAATAAATAAACATATTCTATATATGGATATAGATAGATATGAGAGGGAATTTTTTTTTTAATATTAATCAAACTCCTAAAATTTAGAAGTTGTTAGTTTTCAAATTTTTTTTAATTAAACAAAACTATTATTGGTATTTTGGACAATGGAGANGAATGTTGAGTTGACTAATTGACCATTAATTTTTTATATAGTATCTGCGGGTGTGGGTAATTGTTTGCAATTTTTTTTGTTATACTGTATTTTCAGACACGAACAATTGCTAGTATATATATAAGAGAAATAAATAAACATATTCTATATATGGATATAGATAGATATGAGAGGGAATTTTTTTTTTAATATTAATCAAACTCCTAAAATTTAGAAGTTGTTAGTTTTCAAATTTTTTTTAATTAAACAAAACTATTATTGGTATTTTGGACAATGGAGATAAAAATAGACTCAATATTAAACAAATTTTCTTGATGGATAAGTCCACAAAGGGGGCCGACCTTCAAATTTTCCATATCAATTTAGACACACCAAACCAGATTTAGATCCCCTCCATTACCCCTTCCCTTCAATTCCGCTCAATGCAGTGCTAGATGAGTGACATGTATAATATTCTGAATTTCAATGAACAAGATTTTTTCTCATTTATTTTATTATTGGTGAAATGTTAACCATTATTAAAGAATTTTCCCACAAGAAAAAAATCTTGTCTATTAATATTCAAAATCTTATACATGTCCCTCATGTAGCACTGCATTGNTAATATTAAACAAATTTCCTTGATGGATAAGTCCACAAAGGGAGCCGACCTTCAAATTTTCCATATCAATTTAGACTCACCAAACCAGATTTAGATCCCCTCCATTACCCCTTCCCTTCAATTCCGCTCAATGCAGTGCTAGATGAGTGACATGTATAATATTTTGAATTTCAATGAACAAGATTTTTTCTCATTTATTTTATTATTGGTGAAATGTTAACCATTATTAAAGAATTTTCCCACAAGAAAAAAATCTTGTCTATTAATATTCAAAATCTTATACATGTCCCTCATGTAGCACTGCATTGAGAGTAAATCCCACCAAAACCCATCTAATTGGTTTTGTTTAAGTTAGTCAATTGATTAGATTTTGATCAAAATCCGATCAAAAACTAAATCATCTTAGGTGGGTATGAATTGGTATTTTCCAATATTTAATCCACTTTTAACTAAAAAATTTATGAATTTTCATTTCGATATACTAATGTCTAATTTAATCTTGATTGGATTTCAAATTATGTGCGTGTATAATTTGATGAAAATAAGTGTTATTTCAGGACTTTCGAAACTTAGACATGATTTACTAGAAGTGAACATAAATACATAATACGAAATCGATCAATTTTTTTTTATTTTAATGAATTTGGATATAAATTATAAACATAAAGGGTTAATTAAAAATTATCCCCTCTAAATTTGAGTTATGTTGCAATCTACTCTTTTTGATTTCAATTTCAACAAATTACTTAAATTTGGACAACCAATAAAAACATAAATCAGTCAGGTACAAATCACGTGGTTTCAAGTTTTTTAAATAGAGACAATATTACCTGGGAGGTTTCTGAAATTTTTATTCCCAAATACCCATCAATTCCAAACAAATGATAAAATAAATAAAGGTAAATTGCATTAACGTCTCCTAGAAAATAGCCTAATTGCAGGAACAGCTTTGTAGTTTCTGAAATATCACTGTCATCCGTTATCAGTGATATTTCAAAACATCCGTGAAATTTTTTTACAAAAGTGACCAGGTGTTAATTTTTTAGACGGTATCACATACTCAACACATAATCATTCAATCAAAAACTTAACGGTCTGTCTATGTAGAGACCAAAATGGCAGGAATTGAATAATTTAGGGACCCAAATTAACAAAATTGATATAATAATGACTTTTTTTGTTTGATATAATAATGACTAAACTAACAAAAAAATATATATTTTAGGATCAAAAATACTATTAACTAAAAAAACCAATTCATAAAGAAATTTTTAAAAAATGCTGGGCGAAGTTGAAAATATCAAGACTGATTCATTCATTCACATGATAAAATCAAAGTGTACGTGTTTTCTATTCAACTCGATCGGTAACTAAGAATCATTTTGATTACACTCTTAAAATTCAACACTACGGAAAATGAAGGGATTAAAATTTTTACAAGCGAGCCCATAAAAATTGAGAAGTTACACAATAATATAAATCAATGTTGAGGATTTTCCATGAATTTGTCTGACTCATTAATTTTGATTGATTGCCTATAAACAATATGTTTATAACTTGTCGGTAAAGAATGTATTCTCAAAAACGGAAAATAAACAAAGCTATAAAGAATCGATGAGAATAGGACATAACCCAAAAACTAGTCTTTGGGCAACATGAAGCGACACAAAGGACATATATGACTCCCCTTCAACCACTTCATAATGCACTCTTTATGGAACATATGAGAACAAGGCATTCGCCGGACATTGGTTCCGACCAACGAGTCTTCTTGACAAATTGTACACAACTCCGTCGGAACGTCGGAACTTACGAGCTTCACCTCCTCCAAGGCCTCAACCGACGATAGCGTAGCCGGTTTAGATTTGGAAGCTAAGACTGCTTCATTCATTAAAGCTCTTTGAGACCTTGGTCTACTAATTGCCCGCTCAAAATATAACACGAAATCATTGTTCAAACGATTTTGCTCGTGGTACCAAGAAGTCCATGCCTCGAATTCATGACTTGGTACAATCACAATCTTCTCAATTACTAAATCTAAATACAATATATTTCGGTTTAAATTACATGGTGCAGTCCTCATGGAAGTCAGAAACCCTAAAACGTTTCTTATCACATCATTCTCATCCTCTGACAGTGTTTTTGATAAGTACCCATCATCTTGTTTTCCTTCCCAGTGGACACTGGTCAATTCAAATTGATAAAAAGTGATTAGGGGTGTTTATTCCATCATACAGATACGAATTATAGTATTCTATCTTTCTATTCAATATTTTGTAGAAGAAATTTTTTTTGACCTACCATATTTGATCAAGTGTATTATTCCTACCCAAATTCAGTCTAAAACAATCAGGTAAGAAGTCAGGTAGGAAATTAGATGAACACAATAATTTTTAGTTATTAATTTTTAGATTATTTTAACAATTCAATTAAGTAATCTTGCACCAATTAACCAACAGAATAATATTAAAAATATTAAAATGTTAAAATTTTAACACATTAATAATGTTTCTTGTTTGTGGTTTCTGCACCCATTAACATTGTTAAAATGTTAAAAATCTAACACACACACATACATATATATACAGGTAGGGTTAGGTAGGAAAACGAAATTTATATGAGTATTCTGTATTTCTATTCGATTTTTACAAAATATCAAAATTTCTTCTGTTGGCCTGCTTGGTTTTTTTCAATAGCCGATTAGTAGAGTAGGGTGTGATCGGGTAAGGACAAAATATTCGAGTAATCAAAAATTTGAACACTCAATAAAAAGAGATATAATACCAATTTTTTTTTTTTTTTTTGCAATATCATAGTCAAATCCATACTGCAGATATGGATACTTCTATAAGGAATGGGATTATCCTACTCAATTTGACAACTTCTCTTTTTTAAGTACTTTGAGTTAGGGTTTCTAAGATAAGATTTTATCCGAAAGTTCTTGGCAGATAATTGAGCTATTTCTAAGAAGACTGAACAAATTAACTCCTTATAGAACTCTAAATCGTTTGAAGAAATATATACACAATCAACTAGTCAACTTATACACAATTGCACAGACATAAGATCGAATTAGAAAGAGCAATGCTATGTGCATCAAAAAATTAATTTAAATTTGTGCATCAAATGAATGTGAGCCGTTGGATAATAGTCGGGATTTGTAAGATATTTTCAAATGTACAGATGAAACATATCTCAGTTTTTTATTTCTTTGGGCTTGGGCAGGTATCATTGGATTTGTCCCAAAAACACATTGTTTGAACTCCAATGGGCCATTGGTTGGACGCCCTTCAGCTTGATGGCCCATTAATAAAGCGAGTAGGGAAACGGGCTTTCCTTTTGGGCCCCCAAGAAGATGGCATGCCCTCTGTCTTCAAGCGGTTGGTTGAATTCCAACCCTCAAGCTTTACAATTTGTTCTGATATTTAAAAACATTCTTCTTTTAACAAAAAATAAATATGCATTTTGGTTACCCTAACATATGCTTTAGAAAACATTGTCCCTCAATTAGCTTGAATCAAATTTTAATCGGTCTGAATTTTAATACATAAAAAAAATTAAAAAATAAAGGGGGTCTCATTAAAGATATGCTTATCTAGAGGGGTGTGAATGAAGTTTGTTCTCAAATATATCATAGGCAATTTAGTAAAATTGTATTTTAGTTAATATTTTTAATCTGACAAGTGGTGTTAGTGAAGATTCAAAAATAGAGGGAGTGTCTTTGAAGATATGATAAACTAGAAGGGTGTGGTTGAAATTTTTTTAAAAATTAATAAATATAGCGTTGTTAGTTAGAAATAACCTCTTGGTATTATGTGGTTATAGTGTTATTTGAATATAAATTACTGATCTAATGGATCACAATTATTGAATTAATAGTGAATTTTAAAAAAAATCATGACCCACTATCAATCAAACGATTGTGATGTTTTAAATCAACAAATTAAGTGAAAGTAGGATTGGTTTATTTGTTGATCCAATACGAAAACAACCCTCATAGTGAGGTTAGGTGGTGACTATGGGGTCCATTTTGGGGCCCATTTTAGTCCATTTCCAGCCACATCAGTTAGGCAGTTGCCTGTGTCACATGACTAAATTATCGAATACATAATTAATAAGCACTTAATTATTAATCAATTCTCTTTATAAAATGGGACCAATTGTTTTATGGGCCATGGGAAATGAACCCTATTCATGAGAAATAATTTATGAGGGAAGTCACAGTCTATCCTGAAATAACATGTGTAAGGGGTAGGACCCTCTATTAAGGATTTTGGTTTGACCTAGGTTAACCCACACGGATGATCCCCCAGTAGCTTTTACTTCTCAGTGTCCGCAAGAGATTCGTCCTACATCGACTGAGAGTCGTTTTCCCCTCCCCCCCCCCTCGCATATAAGCCTTTGTACTCAAATGAGGAGTTACCCACTAGGCACCTGATCAGGTCGCTAGTGGGTACCTTCTCCTTTGAGTGCAAGGGCTTATATGTGAGGGGGGAAGACGACTTTCAGTCGATGTGGGACGAAGCTCCTGCGGGCACTGAGAGGTAAAGGCTACTGGGGGGTCGCCCGCGTGGGTTAACCCAGGTCAAGTCGAAATCCTTAGTACAAGGTTCTACCCCTTACAACATGCTTTTTCCACGATGAATAAGAAGTCCTAGACTCGTTTGAGGATGGTGATTCATTTGCCAAATCAAGTTCAAATCCTGTCTTGTTGGGCTAAACTTTAGACTGTGAAATTTGGTAGTTTGAAGTATAATCTATCACAATTTTTTTTTCTTTTTTGCTCGGTAAAAAAGGGGTGGGGGCAACGGAAAGTATCCAAAGATCAACTGATATGCCTTTACTAGTGAGATCATGAAATTCATGACTATGTTCGTTACTCCTTTCAGAAACAAACATAATTAGGCTTACATAGCGGTTAACCACAAAGCCTCAATATAGACTACAACACTCGAACTTCTAATTTCAAGGTGAGAAGTTCGGTCAATACCTACTGGACCACCTCACTCGGTGGTATAATGCATCACAATTGCACGATGAAAATTATGCACAGTGATGATTTTCTTAACACGATTGAACAGTAATGTGAATATAAAGTGTATCGAATAGTTGGGTATAGCTCAGAGAGCTCCAAGACTTTAGGGAATAGGATTTGAGGATAAGTGGTTGATTACACAGAATGTTTATAGTGGTTCATCAGTTGGGGAGTTCGGTTAATCCACTCTTAAAGGAGTCTCTTTCTCCCGAGTATATTGATTACAATGAGAAAGTTACAGATAATGTTTTTGTGAGGCAATAATGGCTCCTTTTATTTTTGACGGCTTTGCTTCATATTTATAATTATTCTTGAGTCTTGCTTGATCTAAGGCAAGATCATTGCTCTTCCCTTGTAATGGTTGTCTTTATTGCACAATGAGACTTGCGTTTATTAAGTGATTGATGCTACAAAAAAGGGGAACTCGATGGAATCCGGCTGTCATTTGCACAGCCTTCCTCGAAATGTAGACACAAAAAATTGAGGTTTGAAGTCGAGGTTTGTAAATAATATGAATGAGCTAAGCTCTCGATCTGAGTAGCATGACCTAAGTTACCGAACTCATCCTTAAGTGTTTTTGTGGTATCATCACACAAGATACAGACCAAGCTTTCCCCTATACGCGGTGAATTGGAATGACTTAGGGGAATCTTTGTCTCTTGATTGTAATCAAACTCCATGGTGACCAACTATTGAGTTTGAGGGAATAGTTTCGTAAATCCGAACACCTTATAACGAAAAAAAAAATTGTAATCAAACTATTGTGATAAACTGAATCTAACATTTTGAAGTTAGACTCAACTTCAGAAGGTTTGGATCTTATTCAAGGGCTACACCTCCTCAGCTTTTTGATGTCATGAATATAATTAGGCGTGCATTTTTTTTTTTATTTTAATATCGTGGCTATGCTAAACCGAGTTGAAATGTATTGCACATTAAAATGGTAATACCTCCATGTCCTATAAATAATGCAGATAATCGAGTAGAGTTTTGTGAGTTCACGACAAGTCTGTCGAACTTGTTTTTTTTAAACAAGCTTAAAAAATTGAACAAACCTGATTCGTTTAGACCGAACTCGAGTTGAATCCGAATGACTTGATTATTTTACATATAAACAAGCTGATCCTTTAAACTTGTTTAAAAAAAGAATCAAACCTAAACCAAGTTCTAAACGAAACGAAACGAACCTAAGTCAAATTCAAATAACTCGGTTCAATTATGAGATATATTCCGAATCCTTCAAATTAATAATGGAAAGAAAAATTTATGAATATAAATAAAGGCATCTGTGCCCCCAAAAGTGACCAAGGTTTTTTTTTTGGGTTTTGAACTTCAACAAAAGTGACCAAATTCGTTGAACCCTTCTAGCAAAGTATGAGTTGACCACAGCTGCCGTATTATAAAACTCCCTTCGTGACTTTAACCGACTGAATTTGATATTTACAATTGAACTTTGAACTTGAACTTAGATCTTTAACATTTTAAAAATCACGTGACAAATTACTTCTAACTACAATAACCACCAACCTACGTCTCTATGTTATGTGGACCACGAAGATGCCAATAGTTTGTATAAATGGTACTGCTCGAGTCCAACTCGTTATGCTCATCTACGTTTTGTCTACAAGCAACTGAATTTTTGGAGTTAATGGATACGAGTCACCCACTACTTTACAAACTTTAATATTTTCGGTGGATACAACTGTCAAATATGAAATAGTGGGTATGAAATATTAAACTTTTAAAATCAGATTTGGATTCATATGAACCAAAATTTGATTCAAATTTGACTCATTGACAGGCTTGCTTACAAAAAAAAAATTATCCCAACCGGACGTACTTTAGATATTTGATCACAATGTGAACTCCGTATGTAAATAACACCTACTCATTAAGCCTTATACCTTCAATAAGCAGAGACCAGCTTCAAACCATCGAGTGTGGTTATCCAGTAGGGTACCGGCCAAAATTCTCATTTTGAGATTGGAGATTTGAATTTTGAAGCCACATTGAAATTCTGTGGTTGACTANTCCAGTAGGGTACCGGCCAAAATTCTCATTTTGAGATTGGAGATTTGAATTTTGAAGTCACATTGAAATTCTGTGGTTGACCGTTATATTATTCTAACTAAGTTTGTTTCCGAAAAAAATAATGAGCGCGGTCAAGGATCTCGTGATCCCACCAATAAGGATCTATCGGGATGATTTTTGGACGTTTTCCTTTACCCCCACCCCTTATTAATATAAATTATTATTATATTTAGATTAACTGTAAGACCCATTTATTCAAAGTCATAATTAAATCCATGATTGTAGTTCATCAACTCAATAAATCAAATCATAATTTTCAGTCCTTGTAATATTTGCTCATCAGCAAAAGATCCCCAAAGAACATATAAAAAAAACACACTTGGGCATTCCAACCATCTCTGTCATAAATAGCAATTGTTGGTTCACCTACCAAGTAAGACCAAACTACCAGAGAAGATTTTTTGTTTTTTTTTGTTTGACAGTGGACCAAAATAGTAGTTGTGAATTTATAATGTTATCATAAAAATTTAGACCCACTTTTGCATTATTCTTCAATTTTTCATTAGTTTAGACTCACTGTGGCACAGTGTCTTTGAATAAATCCTCTAAAGAGGCCTCAGAGCTCTCGAGGAGAATGCTAGGAAAATTTCAAACAATAGATTAGCTTGGACCCATTTCAATAGAAACATTGGATGGGTAATGCAAGACCTACTGAAAAATGGGACTAAAATTAAGGATCAAATGATATAACGAGGACGTAACGACTAAAACTTGAATTTTCAATGAATAAAAGTGGAACAAAAAATACCACTATAGTCATGTAGTATCATTTAATCTTTATTTTTGTTCTATATTTTGATCGGCCTAGCATTATAAGAATTGCAAAAGCCCAAAATCCATTCAATGGTTTTAGACCAAAGGTTGATTATTATAAAAAGATTTACGATGCCAAATTCGATTACAAGTGGCAAATTTTATAAAACGATGCATCAACAATATCATAATCTTTCTATGATAAGGAGAGATGTGCCAATATTATGGTCAAATACAATCAATTTGCACACTAAAGATAGTGAAGGAATACTCAAAAGATAGTGAATAGTAATTTTAGTACTTAAAGTTTGTCCTTTTTTTAAATTTGATTTTCAGTGTATTAATTTTACTAATTTGTGTTACTTTGATCTCTTATCAGATAATTTATTAAGTTTTTTCATGGAAGTGATCACGTGTTATTTTTTTTAGACGGTATCATGTGTTCAATATGTCATCATTCCGACAAAAACTCAACAGTCTATCTGTGTATAGATCATTTAAATACGAATTGAATAGTTTATAGATCAAATTGCTACTTCAAAAAATAAATTAACAAAAGTGCATATTTTAAGAACAAAAAATATTATTAACCCAAGATTAAGAGAGAATTTACATAGAGAATCCGAAGATAAAGCACCCAAAAAATGAGAACATCTTAACTTTGATAAGGTTTGACACTTCAAACTTTTACTTGTCAAAGGTAGCTGAGGATGAAAATCCAATTCATACCACAACCTCATTGAATAATAAAAAGGCACCCCCTATCATATTACACCTATCCTGAACCTTGACAAAGAAAGAAAAAAAGAAGATGACAGTAAAAAATGTTGCCAAATTCATGGCTCCCACCATTACAATATCCTTGCCACCTTAAAAAACATGAAAACAACAAGGTTTTGTACAAAATTACAGATGATTCTTAACCCAAGGACAAGTAACCAACAAAAAAAAGACAGAGCCACTGAGAAAATCAGACAGGAGAAAGTGGAAAAATTTGGTTCACCAAAATCTAACACTCTCAGTTGAACTCAGAAGCTGTTCCAAATAATCAGCACCCAAGTCCTCAAACTCCACCACATTCTCTCTCTTGATCAATTCCCTCCCTCTACTTTTTCTCCCCAAATTTCTCCTCCTCATGGAGTGTCTCTTCTTCAGAGCCAACACTGGGGAACAACCATCACCAACAATACCCTTCATGCCATGAAGAGATTCAAGAACTCTTTCAACTGGGAAATTCAAAACAGCACCCGAACCGCGCATCGAAAAAGCAGCTTGATCATAGGCTAAAGCAGCAGATTCTGCAGTGTCAAATGTGCCTAACCACACCCTTATGCCATTCCTTGTAGAATCTCTTATTTCTGCCGCAAATTTTCCCCATGGTCTCTTTCTCACCCCTCTATAGGACTTCTCTTTCTTGGGTTTTTCTTCTGATGATTTGGAAATAATATCACCAGAGGAAACTGTTTGGAATGTTTCTTGTGCAGCCTGTGATAGAACACCATAGAGAAGCATCTCTTCTGAGTCATTTTCATTGAAAGGAAGGGAATTGTGGAGGTTCAGGCCGTCCCAAGAGAGAGAATCGGCCGATCCGGAGGAAGAATCCGACGAGAAATCGGAATTCATGGAGAGAAATACAGAGGAATCCATGAGAGGTAGTGGAAGCTAAGGTTGGAACGTGTATCTGTAGATAGTGTGTGAATCCTCTGTCTCATAATTGTACATGTTTTGGGCATATGCCCACTTTAAATACACAATAGGAGAGAGGGGAAAGATTGGAATGTGAAATAAAATAAGAAAAGAAAACAAGAGAATGTAAAATACTTAAAAGAATGAGGGCAAAAGTGAAAAAAAAAAATGGCCAAAGAGTTAGATGACAAAACTGAATTAAAACACATTATAAAGTCCTGGGAATTTGGTTTTTACAAACTTAGAGTTTGGGACTTGAATATTGGTTACGAAAAATAAAATTTCGGTATTATACTAAAATTTATTATATTTATAGATATTTTTATTATTATTCTGTGTATTTTTATTACTGTTATGATATCTAATAAAGTAATAAAATAATTACCACAACAATAATAAAAACACCAACAAAAGTAATAAAAAATCCCATAAAAGTGATAATTTTTTTTATACTAAAGAAAAGTGATAAAATTAATTACCACAACAGTTATAAAAACATCCACAACAGTTATAAATCACCCACAAAAGTGATAAAAAAATTTAATTGTAAAATGGTAATAAAAGTTATAAAAATACTCTTTCAAATAAGTAAATTTTAATAGTATCGTAATCAAATCATCTAATATGAGGACCTTAAAATAATTTAATGCATATGTTTTTTTTGTGTAATGAGCAAATTTTTCGAAGCAGGGTCATTTTAGACTCATTCCTATAAAATTAAATGACGAACATCTACAATTTCTTATATATCGCAAGTATCAATTAAACATAACAGGCATCAAAAAGAGTTGAACACCGAGTCGTCCAAATTTACTGTTTATTCAAATGCAACCCTACATTGGTGAGCTAGTGGTGCGGGTTTATTTATTTATTTATTTATTTATTTTTATCAAGGTGCGGGTTTATTCAATGCACATTAGAATAAACAAATTAAACATTTAAATTTTATTTATTTATTTCTTGGGGCCCCACAAATGGGATAATATATTCCATATGCGTCAATTTGAAGCCAGGCGGCGAGGTCAGACACACTTCGACTGACGTCAGCAACATCATCTGATTCCCTTAGCCCACCTTTGTTGGACCTTTTACACTTTGATACCCATTTGGCTAAAATGTCCCACAAATTATCAGCATTACTTTCAACATAAATGGCAACCATGTCCTCTACAATGGCAACCATGTCATCACAAAAAAATTATAGTTTAGCCCCAAATTTTATCACTTATTTGAATTTGGCCTTTAAATTTTTAATTATTTAAATTTAGTCTCTCAATTATCAAGTTTATCTTAATTAAGTCTTTTCATCATTTTTTTGCTGTTAGATTAATGCTAAAATGGATCATATTGGATTAGTCTCTAATTGATTTAATAATAAAAATTGCTGGAATGATTTAATTTAAGCGAAATTAACAATTGAATGACTAAATTAAAATAATTAAAAGTTTATTTTATCAAATTGAAAAATAAGACAAAATTCAAGGACCAACTATAATTTTTACCCGATGAGAATAAAGATTCATTTACATTTATTGGCCCTATTTAGGTTCGTTCTAAATGATTTGAACTTGATTGAATTGCAAAAATATTCTTTTAACTTCTTATTCGAATGCGAACTTATAAATGTGAGTGAGAATTAAAAGATTCGGCTAATTCTCTCTCATGTATGTTTAAAAGTAGGTCATTTTTGTTGAGATTAAGGTATTTATGAAGGATGAATCTCTCATAAGTTGACTTTAAGAAGTTGTTAAAATTTGAATTCATGAAATCTGAGTTTTCGACCCATCCCTATTATCACTAAAATTTCTAATTTTTGTTGTTGCCTTGCCGTGCTGATAGGATAATGCACGTTTTTAAATTATCCTGGCTAACAATTTTCCACCTCTCTTTCTCAAATGGATGAAATTTCCCTCTCACACCACAAAAGAGGTGCTTGATCTTTCCCATTCAAACTGTCCCTATCTCAAACCTTGTACACATCTTATGAATGTACCTAATTTATTCTCCTCTCGTGCTTCTATTAATAAAAGAATAAAGTAGTGTAATTAAAAACAGATGTGATAGTCTAGTGGTCTAATAAAGAATATAACTCTTAATACAGCGCAATTGGAGGAATGATGTCCTATCTTAGTAGATAAGGACAATACCTCTAATGTTAAGGTCCCTTGTTCCTCGTATAGGAGAGAGGACAACTAATTACTTAGAATGGTATACGCAAAAAGGGTAAGATTCCGAATTAAGTAGGACCAATTTTGTTTGATTTGAACTAGACCAACGATCAAGTCTAATTTTTTTGCTATTAACTGCTTCAATTTTAGGTTGAATTTTATCGTTTAAGCCCTCTAATTCTCTTTTTTCGTTTTATAAAGAATTCAAGAAATAATAGCTTATGATGGGAATTTCTAATTTAGCGATGTCAGTTTTGATAGAGTCCAGACCATATATGCTTTTATGTTAATTAGTTAAATTGTCATTTCTTATTTTTAATAAATTTTGTATAACTAGTGATTTTTTGGTTTTGACCATTATTATGTATATTTCCTTGAGATAACATGAGTTCTCTATTTTTCATGTAGATTCAGAGTGTGTACGTGTTACTTTCACGAAGAAACAATATTTTAATTGTGTTTTTAGTTTATCGTTGCGTCAATTCGAAACTCTCTCCACCCCTGCATCGAAACTATTCGGAAAAAAAAAATAGCGTAAAAGTGAAACAAGATTCATACAACTTACCTCAAATAGTTGAGATAAATCTTTTTTTTCTGCTTGTAATTAGATTTTTGGTTTAATTATACTGGAGATCTCCAAAATATGAAGTTTGTTTTATTTTAATTCTCAATATTTTAATTGTATAATTTTAATCCATAAGTATTGAATATGTTTTTTTATTGTTCCTCAAGCAAACAAGGTCCAAATTGCTAATAATTTTTTATCTTATATTTGTCACATGATACTTAAATATAGACAAAAAAATAATTTGAATAATTCTTGACCAAATTTTTACTCAAATTTTGGTTAAGTAGTTACCTAAATTATACAGTTTTGATCATGATCTATCCATATTACACATTTTTTTGTCAAGAGCTACTCGAATTTTGTTTAAGAGCTGTCAAAATTATTTTTTGTTCATATTTAAGTATTACATGTCAAGTTTATGATAAAAAATCGTTAGAAATCTGAACGTTGTCTGTTTGAAGGACCATATAGAAACATATTCAATACTTCAAGGACCAAAATGATGCAATTGAATCATTAGGGACCAAAATTAAACAAATTTTTTATTTTAAGGACCTCCAATACAATTAACCCAAGAGTTTATTTTCATAAATTATGAAGTCCCACCATTGGTCATAGCTTCCCAAATGTAAGTGTGTCAATATTATTTGTTTCATTCCACAAACAGTTGTTCAATAACGTTGTTCTTTATTTTTATAAAAGCAAAAATATTTTTCAATGTTCAACTATGAATAAAGCCTTTTGACATAGTGCGGAAATGTTCTAGAAGAGTCTTAACACCAAGTTATTATTTTTAGTATTTGAATTACAATTTTTCGGGTATAAGTTATCACAAAAAGTTGTAAAATGATTCTCAAAAATTGTAAAAATTTCCACAAAATTTTATAATGACAGTACGGTTCCTAATATTTTTTTTTAGTACCGTATTCTTCTTGTAATATGTAATACTCAAAAATTATTACAATGTGAATTGAGTTTTTTTATCCAGAAAGATTTAAGAATTTTTACTTTGTACTTTCTAAGATAAAATTTTTATATTTCGTCCTAAATATATTAATAGTGTTATAATGTGACCCTTTTATTAGATCATCTCATTGAAACTGACTAAAAAAATAATGAAATCTAATAGAATTGTGTATAGTGTAATACATTTGATATATTGAAAGTGTAATATAAAAAATTTAATTTTTGAGATATAAAGTAAAAAATTTTAAATCTTTTAGGGTATTTAATGTAATTTTATTAACTTTTTCAGTGAAACATACTCATCTAAGAGATTATATATATTTGGGTTGAGTTTTATTTAAATTATGCAACATATTTTTTTTTGAGTTTACTACGTCAATCATTTAAAGTCGAAAATAATAATAGACTTTTCACCTATAATTATTCACGCGTGTTGTCTCTTAACTTTTTTGACAATTTTTTCCTGTAATTTTTCATCTATTTTGGGATTGATGTGAACTATACATTGTTGCCATGTCCAATTTACCCTCTTTCACCAAAACATATTATAGGACATGACATTTTATACGAATCAAAAAGTTATGAAAAAGGGAAAATATTGTTTGGGATCTAATCAAATCATTATCCTAAGAACCAAAAAAAAAAAGCATAAATACTTGAAATTGATGGTTTGAAATGTCTAGATACAGGCCCTTTTGAAGCTCATGAGCTGTTTTAAAAGTCATCAAAACCTAGTGGCATTTTTGGAGGTTTCAAAGTCCTCCAAAAAGAATGGATACTATAGTTAAATAGAGACCACCCATTCAACTAAAGGTCTCCCAATCTTTGGAATTCAAGATTTTCTGCTGGAATTTCTGGGATGGTCCATGTCTGGGTAATTAGTTTTCTTAGAATCTCACATCTCGTGGCATGGGAGGAGGTGTAACTTGGGTAGGGCGTTTCTAGTTCTTTTTTCGGTTTTTTGTTCAATGGTCAGAGATGTTCAGGTCAGCTTATGTGCACCTCTATTAATTTTGAGGTTAAACCATGAGAGATTTATCACTCGTGAATATCCTAGTCTCGATATGAGATGACCTATTTCAAACTCAAGACATTTAAGTCTATAACTCGTCGTTATTACTACTTGAGCTATGGGGTTTTAATACTTTAATTCCTAAATAACTAGTACTTATATAGAGATTTTCAACATTTGTGTTAGATATAAATGGCAAAAAAAAAACCCAAATTCAATTTAAACCCAACTAAGTTGTGTAACTCTA